AGTATTAGATTTGTACCAAAAATACCATTGAACTATTTTTTGTACACACATCACCAATATAATATAACTTTTGTACATATATGACCATTAAACTTCACATTTGTTCAAAAAATACCATTATATTACCGGTAATAATAGGTCATCAGCCACGTAGCATACCATGTGACATGTCATGTGGCTGCTGATGTGGATTTTACTGTTTATTATGTACGCATTATACCATTAAACTATTTTTTGTACACATTATACCATTAAAATTTTTTTGTACACATTTTACCATTAAACTTTTTTTGTACACATTTTACCATTAATGTTATATAATTTATTGAAAAAAATATCATTTCAAAAAATACAAATTATTACATAAAAGTAGGTTTCCCATCACATGATGTGGATTTTACTGATTTTCTAAATTTTAGTAAACTTATCATTATAAGTTATTTTCCTATCGGTAAACAACGATATGATTTTAATGCACTTTTTTAATCATCAACCATAATCAAGAAGGGGAGGGGGGTTATAATAAGGTAACATGTACAAAATGTTTCATGAGTTTATAAGTGTGCATGAAACGTAGTTTCCTAAGAAAATGACTTATAAGAATATGTTTATTAGACATTAGCTAAAATAATGAACAATTTAGTATTTCTTCGCCGCTCCAGATAGAAGTCTCAAGTTCAAACCTTGTGGGTTTCAATCAATGTATGGCCAACATAAATTCACAATGTAATTATAAAAGAAAGTCCTTAGTATCATTGTAAAAAAAAACCTTTTCCCCAAACCTTACAAAATCAGTGAGTCACAATAGGTGATGAAAAACTCACTTTATGTAAAAATATGTATTTTTTGAAATGATATTTTTTGAATAAATTATATAAGATTAATGGTAAAATGTATACAAAAAGTTTAATGGTAAAATGTACACAAAAGAAAGTTTAATGGTATAATGTGTACAAAAAATAGTTTAATGGTATAATGTGTACATAATATACAATAAAATCCATATCAGCAGCCACATGGCATGTTACGTGACTGGTGACCTACTATTACCGGTAACATAATGGTATTTTTTAAACAAATGTGAAGCTTAATGGTCATATGTGTACAAAAGCTATAGTTGATTGATGATGTGTATAAAAGAAAGTTCAACGATATTTTTTGTACAAGTCTAATACTTCGTTACCCTTACAAGTCATTTTACCATTTGGAAATAAAGTAATTCTATACAAATATAAGTCTATGTTATTTACCAATTTTACCCTTCAACGTAATATTAAAAAAAAAATTACTTAGCATCTATAATAATTATTTTCTTCGACACATCTCACGAACGTTGTGTTTTCTATCATGAAACAACTTCATTTATTTCATTTTCTTTCGAATCGGAGAACACGAAAATAAAATATATCTTTACATTACATTCTTTTTCTTTTTCTCTCCTTATTTTTCATCCCCTTATTTCATTTCCTTTATTAAATCCGGAAACATGACAAATGATAAGAAAGTCACTAGCTCGATCTCGGGTTTCCAACAACTCGTTCTGATGAGCAACGTTTGATTAAAAAAACTTGTACTCACCAAACGATCATATATTGCATAAGAAAGATTTTACGTCTTATCAAAATTCATTTAAAGAATATAATTGACCGCATATTCAACTAAGAAAAAAGTATTAAAAAAGAAGCTTTATTGAAAATAGACATTTGTCGAGGATCGCAATAGGGTTTTCTCACATGTGCAAATAATTTAATAAACCCAAATCCAACTCAAATTTTAATGGCTAACTCACATGCCTTTTAATCTACTCCTAAATCTTTTCTAATAAATTAAGGTTTTTTTTGCCACTTGTCACACTCTAATGCATTATGTCATATGTAATTTTATCATAATTTTGAGATATTTATTTTCCATTTGTCATTTACTTCATTTATCATTATTGATATCGAATATATACCATTAATTTAGTTTCTATAAATTAAACATACCATAATAAATATATTAATTTCAAATTTCGAACTTCAATTTCAATTTTAAATAAATTTACAACTGAAACCTTCGTATTTAAAATTTTGTTATAATTAACACATTTAATACACATGTTTGAGAACTAAATACATAATTTTAAGTTAATTTTTTCATTTTTTTTAATTTATATTTATTTCAAATTCCAAATTCAAATAAACTTGTTGTTTAATAATTTGTATTTAACATTTTGTTTTAATTAACCCGTATAATATATGAGTATCACAACTAGTCTTCTCTCATAAATAAAGGTTTTTTTTGCCACTTGTTACATTCTCATTCATTTTGCCACATATCATTTTGTGGTTATTTTGAATTATTTTTTATTCCATATGTAATTTTGTGGTTTTCCTATTTTATTAAATTCCATATGGTATTTAAATTTAATAATAAATGCATATCAATTTCATTAATGGATTTTCCTTATAATTTCAAAATTTTAAAATAAAATATGATTAATTTGATTTGATTATGCTATCTAAATGATTTTTTTAAGTTTAAAAGAAAAAAAAACACTTTAATTTTAGTAATTCAATATTTTTATCATTTTTCTTATAAATTCAAATTTCCCAAATGTTTATACATATTTAATTATTTAAAATACACTCATGTAATATATGGGTTCACACCTAGTCTACCTATTGATTGATGGATATATTTCCAACAAATCTTAATTAGGAGTGTGCGCGGTGCGGTTTGGTGCGGTTTATACCCAAAACCACAAACCGCACCGCGAAAGCTATAAACAACATTGTGTGGTGCGGTTTGACGCAGACGGTTTTGTGCGGTTTTGCGGTTTGAAAAAATCGCCTACATAATGTAACATATTATTAATCTTAAATACGTAATTACAAAATGACACTCTCGCATTTCATTATGATTTAGATGTGGAAATTAAGTTTCATGCAACATTTTATATATAGTTTATATCTCTGTTTATTGATACGACGATAAAATGTACATTCGTATAACTTATATGTCTGATTAATTGTGTCACTTTTAACAAGATCTATAATTATTGGTGGTTTTTAAAAACAATATTATTAAGAATTAATTAATACAATAATAACAATAATTAAAATACATAGATAGTACTTAACTATGACATTGAATCAAAAAACATATACACATATATACACACATGCGGTGCGGTTTGGATTGCAATTTTGTAATTATAAACCGCAAACCGCACCGCAAAGTACGGTTTAATAAAATTTCAAACCACAAACCGTACCACTAAAGTTCTAAATCGCGTTATGCGGTGCGGGCAGTTTATGTGGTTTTATGTACACCCCTACTCTTGATATTGTTAGCCACTTTGATAAATCCAAGTTGTAGTTAGCATATATACATTGGTAGCGTCCATCTAATTAATTCAGTGATTATAATAATGTTTTTGCTTTGGGTGTCTGGTTTAGACAAGTTATAGATGAAGAAGTAGCATGTTCTTTTTCCTAAAACTAATGGGTTGTTCTTTTGCAGTTGGGAGGGTGGCTACTGGCTAGCTGTTTCACCTCCAAGCTTCAAAACCATGTTTTCCATGTAGGTTGTCCTTGTACAGGGTCCAACAATAATACACTTCAACACTTCATTTGGATTGCATGATTCCATTAGTATTTAATGCATCAACTCCAATGGCTTATCTTCCATAAACTCTGTGCCTGAAATATATAAAGATTATACAACTCCAATGGCTTATCTTAAAGGCTTGTACTTCTTTGGGATCGATATAATCCTTTGTTCGTTTTTCCACTTAATTATGACCTCGATTAATACTATTCTCAAGCTAAAAACATCAGATTTCACAGAGAACATCCCACATAATGCATACACTTAATGTTAAAATTATGGGTTTAATGACACTTGGAAATCTGAGAATCGTGATAATCACTTTCTAATCGAAGTATTTGGGTGGTACTCCCAAATCTTCAATTGGATAAGACTCAGATTAAATCAGAGAGAAAGAAAGAAAATGAGAGGATATGATTTTGTGAGTACCAAAAAAGAGACCAAAAATTGAATTTAGATCTTTGTCTGAAAACTATCATATGACAGTTTAAAACCGTCACAAAACCACCAAAACGGTCATAAAACGGGTATTCTGAAAACTGTCGATCCCAGCCAGGGGCTCTACCCCTTAGACCCCACCAGGGGCTACCACCCCTTGGACCCTGCTCCCAGGGGCTTTGCCCCTGGAACCCCGTTCGTTCAGGGGCTTCGCCCCTAAATGACAGTGTACTTTGATACTTGATCAAACTTAAATTAGTGTGTACTCCACACATTCCTTACTTGTTTAATATTTATCAAGATCACTTTTGGTTAACAAAGTAATCTCATTACACTTAAATAACATTCATGATAACAAATTACCAACACTTAATTTGACTTTGTGAAACTAACAAACTTACTTGGTTCCGAAAACTCTTTTAGTGATAGCTTTTGTATCTTTTCTTGTAAGGATCTTGCCAAACCAAAATTTGAAAATTTTGAATTCATATACTCGTCTAACAAACTGTTGCTTGTTTTGAAATCCCGGTGAATAATCCTCAGCCATGAATCACGATGCATATAGTCGAGTCCTCTTGTCACTCCCATAATGATAGTGAATCTCATATTATGGTCCAATCATGTGCAAAACTTTGGATCTTGCAAAAGAATGAAGATAATTTTTTCACGTTTATGTATATTTTGGAGTAATAAGCGTGTATATTTTCACAAACAGAATAATATGGCTAGTCTTTTAATGATAATTCTATTGTTAAAAATGAATTAAGAGGCTAACCAAATACTACAATGGAATCTAGGCTTCTATTTGGCATGTATTGGTAGAGTAGAATCTTTTCATCTCATCTAATGCAATAACGATTTCCATGTTGTAGTTTATAGTAATCACTGTAACCTCGTTTTTAAACTCTGGTAAGCCTTGTCCATAGTGGCCTAACAACCTCTTCACTGCAACTAGTTTTCCTCCAGGAAGGTTATCCTGCTGAGATTCTCAAGTTACTACGTATTATAAGTTATATATAGAGATATAATAATTAACTGAAAGTACTTTCTATATATATATCATACCTTGTACACAGACCCAAACCCACTTTGTCAAGTGCATGAATGAAAACCGGTCTTTTTCAAATTGTGGAACCACGATTACTAAATGAAGGGAGTGTTGACCAGTTACAAGCTGTAGCAGAGCTTGTAAAGAGGGTTGTGACAATGGAGCTACATGGCTTAAGGAGGTTAATTTACTACTCATCCTTATGTTCAACATGAACAAGTGCCTCAAGAAACTGGAACCATAATTCCAAAAATTGAGAAATCTAATCCTGCCCCTTTCAATCCATATAGCACAAACGAACAAGGATCTTCCAAGATTAGTCTTTGGTAAGAAGTCTTCTACAGCAACTCTTATCATTTCTAACTCTTGGGTTGCACCTCTCTGCATATGAAGTTCTATGTTATGTTGGTTGTTTTCTGTGTTATCATATAGAAGATCTCCTATTTATATACTCCATCTGAATATAATTTTAAAAATCTGAATATAATTTTAAACTTTTTAACGAAGATGGGACAGTGAGAGATTGCATGGTGCATAACGGCATGTGAATGATATGGAAGATCTCCTATTTATATACTCCATCGAGGGGCCAACTTTATTAATTTCAACTATTTTACTTAATATTTTTCTCTATAGATTATTTAAGTTTTGGTTTAACCAGCTTAATAAATTCGATACTTCCCATTCTTATTCTATAAAATTTACAAGAGCTAACTACCAATATATATAAATACTCTATTTACAAGCCATTCTATATATCATTCTAACATTATTAACATTAATTTATTTACACAGATAAACGAAATTGGGTTGCAAGTTTTGCATTATCTCCTAACAAAAATATTAAATGATGCAAATGCTTAAAAAAGATGAGTAAATAGGTCTGCTACCAGTAAAGTGAATGTGTAAAAGGTTATGAAACGTTAGAAAGTACAGTATGACGAAAATTGATTGTATAACAGAACATGTTGGTTGTAATCGGGTAAACATTTATTTGTTGCACAAAAATGACAAATGTGACAAATTAACTTTAAACCATATGGTGTTTTTCTTCATTTCATTGAAACAAAAACCACCCACATTCACCTTCGTATGGGAAACATTAATTGAAGCCACCTTCCATATTTACTTCCACCATCCATTTCCATGACTCATTGTTGGATAGTTTTTCCAACTTCTCTTTTTGCATGCTTAGAAAACCCACCAATGACCTGTAAGTCGTTAAATTATCAATTAGTAATGACATGAGCAGCGAAATTATTACAAAACTATATATCTTTTAATTTAGTTTTTAGGATTCGATGATTGATTATGATGTTGAGGCGAAACTGGAGCCCAAAGCTTGATATATGATGTATTCAAGATGAAGCATGATTAATTGATTATACGACCATGAAAAAGGAGAATTAAAGGGAAAAAAAATGCATACTTAATCTAAGAAAAAAGAATATGTCAAAAAAAAAATAAAAGCCCGCCCTACGCAAAGAAAAAGAAATGGGAAACTAAACAGATTAATAATTTAAGAACAAATATAAATTTTTTTCTAAAAAAAATTATAAAAAAAATTAACTTTTTTTTCCAAACGTAATCACCATTCACCAATTTGTTAGAGAAGTGCAGAAGGCCTACGAAATGGACATGATGGACTACCAAATGGGTCAATGGGCCTTTAGCTAAAATCCCATTTTTCGACTTTTGATTTCGTAATATAGGAAATTTGTCTTTGAACAATATGGTTGAAAAAAGAGTATAAATGGGTCGAAGGTAGTAAGTTTCTTTTTTGTTATATTCGTATAGATTGTAAATTGTATAGATTTGACAATTAAACACTACAAAATAGCAAAAATCCATCTTCCATATATTTTCTGCGAAAATAAATGTTTTTCCATATTTGAAGTGTCTAAAATAGGTTTCTAGCAATTTTTTGCTTTTGCTTTTGCTTTTAATTCAAAAAAGATTTTTGATCTTTTTGCAGATAATTTTATGTATTTTTACTCATCATATCTACAAACAGACTAATTTTAAAATTCAAACATAAATAATTTCATTGATAAATTATGGGGAAGGGGATGCAAAGTGGACAGTTGCAGATTATCCAAAAAAAAAATATTATATATTTTTATTTAAAAATTAAAAAACTTATAATAACGACAGGGATCCTTATTCTCTGGTTTGTCCTGGGCCTTTCAGGATTTAATTTCATATGACCGGCCCTGTAAATTATGTTATTTTTGTATGTCGTACCTACAAATTTACTTGTTTACGGTATTTTGTATGTCAGTTTTGGTAATTTCGCAATCCATGCATGTGAAATTATATGTTTTTCGTATTTTCATAAATTATATGTTTGTGGTATTTTCACAAGCCATTTTTGATCATTTCACAGGTGTGGCCTACGAAAAATACCATAAACCATTTTTCCTTGTCAATGTTACTTTTCGTTATTTTGTTTTACAATACCACGATGACAAGAGTTTTTGGTGGACAAGTGAACCAAGTAGCAACTATAGGTTATGTCCATAAAGTCTTAGATTATTTATCAGAACAATGTTGAAAATATTTGAGGCCACATGTTTATGATATTTGCTTGATGTAACATCAACATCATGGTATATGAAAAGTTAACCATCAACGTGAGTTACGTATTGAAGGGTTACTTATAGGTGAAATGAAACCTTACTTATAAACAAAACCTTACTTGGGAGACTAAAGAATAAGAGATGATATATTTGTTACCCTGTTTTCTTAGACTACAAAGTGATTTCGTGGACATAATCTTCTTAAGGGATATGTACTTTTAACGCCTTTAAATTTGAATATTCGAGATGTTAAAATAGATAACTATATGTTTTGGAACCCAATAAATTAGTTGTGAAAAGGTTGGAGACCTAGAAACCACAGTTAAAAGTATAACTATGACTTTAAGATTCCAATGTGTAGTCATTACAATAAAAAGTGCAATTAAAAAAGAAAAATATTTAATTGATCTAAAATGAATAGGCCACTTTGAAAATGGCATGTTGCTTGATTGTAAATATTTGATGTCTGCAACATCCAATGTTTGCAACTACAGAAATTAGGCTTTAGAGCATCAAATTAGTAGTTATTGATTTTAAAATGTAGACAAGAAGAAAGAAAACATAAAATAAAGAATAAATTAAAAATATTAAGGATTAAATGTATATAAATTGAAAAATATATTATCTTATTAACTTTTTTTTTTTTGCTTAACCAGGGTAGTTAATTATAAAGACTGAATGTTTATAAAAACAAATTAAATAGTTAATTATGAAAAAAAATCGATAATTAAATATATACAAATAAAAAAATATTTTATTCTATTAAGTTATTTTATTTATTTATATTAATAAATAATTGTCAGATGTGAACACTTCCAATAAGTTAATTACATAGATGTGTACAGAAATAAAATTACCCAAATATGAACAAAACGAAAAGGTAATTATCATGATAAGTCAATTTTTCTTTTCTTTTTTAATTTGCATATTAATTTTGATTTGATATAAAATTTAACATAAATGATAAATATTTTTAGAACTACATCAGTGTGGTAAATATATATTTAAAATACACTACGTTGATATAAAAAATAAAAATAAAATAAAAACTCCTGATTTGACCGGTAAAACACATATCATCATTTAATAATTTTATTGTTTAAGATTTAAATATAAAAATTAAAATTTATGAGAACACTTGAGATTTGCATATACTTGCAAAGCATGTTCAATTTGTTATAGAAAAAAACAAGTCAAGATACGGAGCAAACTTTATTGAAAATATTTTAAAAAGATATTTATCAAAATATTATGATTTTAAAATATATATCATTTAGGTTAGATATTAGATCAAAATTTAAAGGTAAAATAAAAATGAAGAGAAATTAACTTATCATTGTAGTTATCTTTTTGTTTTTTCATATTTGGTTAAATTTTTTTTAGTAACAAATTTGTTAGAAGTGTTCACGTATAATTATTATGGTCGGCTGTAACTTATCAACATTTAAAAAAAAATCGTTACTTATTAAAATATAAATAAACGAAAAAATAATTATCTATTTCCAGTTATAAGCTTTAAAATGCCAAAACCAAATCTAGAGGAAAAAAGAAGTTAAAAGAATTTTAATATAACATAATTCGACCGGATACAATGGAGGAAAAGGGTTTTGCCTGCTAATGTTACAGGTATCCGATCCATGCTATAGATTGCATCATTACAACTTACAAGACCCCCAGATACACACTAGTAGTATTCTTCCAACACACGCAAATCCAAGTCCTTGGATTGAAATTGGGTTTTCCCTGATCAAATTCCCTTAATCGACATTTTTCCGCTGGGAAACTTTGCTTATTCTTACTTAATTCCTGGTAAGAAAACCTATATTCTTTTCACATGCCTTTTCGCTTTCAAGGTCGTTGATCTTGATTTGTTGTCTTGTTTCAATTTGGCGAGCCTAGATCTGTAAGTATCGTTGATTGCCGGTGTTTCTGTTATGTCGGATTTGATAGAATTGGGGGCATCTGTTGTTTATCTTTGGTGACATGAAAGAGGTGGGGAGATCTGTCCATTCGATAGACGTGGTAAAGAAAAAAAGCTCTTCTGGATGCTTGATTATCAAAAAGAAGGTAGCAGATGGTGTTGGCGGAGTTCAAGGGTTTAGCGATTCGTCATCAAGGAAGCTATATTACTCGGCAAAAGAGAAAAAAAGACCCAGACCGATTAGGAGTGATTCCGAGTCCAGTGATGAGTTCACAGAGCCTTACCGCCAAAAACTTGATAATTTTCACAATGGTTCATCTTTTAGTAATAGGGGTTTTATGGGAAATAGAGAATCAGAGATTGAGAAAAGGGTAAATAATGGGATAAATATGCATGAGTTTGATGAGTATAATGGATTCCATGAGAGGATGAATAGGAAGGATGCTAACGATCATAGACATGGGTTGAAGTTACATTGGCAAAGTGGGGATCTAAAGAATTCTGCAAGTGGTAGTAGTAGGATAATCGATGATAAGAGAAGGGAATTCCTTCATGATAAAAGGAATGCCATTTTGGGTGGAAAGAGTAGTAGGCCTATTCATGGCATCAAAAGTGGATACAAGATGGAGGACGATAAATCCCATTTACCCCTTAATTACAGAGAAGTTTCTGATGAACCTATCAGGTTGCAAGGGAAAAATGGTGTCCTAAAGGTGATGGTAAAAAAGCATAAGCAGATGAGTGTTCCACATCAAAGTTATAATCATCATCCAGAAGTTGAAGAGTGGAAAGAATCTAGGCCAGTAGTTTACAAAAAGAAACAACAGAACATGTCCCATAAAAGCCATGATCATTGGGAAGGTCCTAATAGGAAAAAAGCAGCTATGGAGCCATCTTCATTGCACTCTGCTTCAAGGCATCCTGAGAAACCAGTTTCATTTAAGAATCAAGTGAAAGGTGAAGTTGATTTGGATTTGGAAAAGCCAGTTTTAGATGATAGTGACACATCATTACCAATAAAACCATCTGCTGAAAAAATGGTTAAAATTGAAAAAAGAATAACCCCACAAACCAAAAAAGATACTCCAGTTAAAGGGAAGGAAAGCAAGGTTAAACGTGGAAGTGGCACTGAAAAGCAATTATTAAGAGAGAAGATTAGAAGTATGCTTCTTGGTGCTGGTTGGACCATTGATTATAGACCAAGAAGGAACAGAGACTACCTTGATGCTGTCTACATCAATCCAACAGGAACTGCTTATTGGTCTATAATCAAAGCTTATGAGGCACTTCAAAAGGAAGAACAGAAAGATCATTCACAAGTTGGTGGTGAATTTACCCCTTTACCCGTTGAAACACTTAGTAAACTAACCAGGCAAACCCGTAAGAAAATTGAAAGAGAAATGAAAAAGAAGAAAAGAGATGAAGGCAACAACAATGGTGATGCTGATGATTCAAATGATAATTATTACATGGAAACAGTCAAGCAAGAGAGGCCTGCTGCAAAGAGAAGTGTTGGACTTGGGCATGAATATGATTCTCAAATTACACAGGGGCAAAAAAGTCGAAAACTCGGAAGGTGTGTTTTGTTGGTTAGAAGTGAAGGGAAAGGCTCTGAAAATGATAGGTTTGTTTCCTATTCAGGGAAACGAACCCTTCTTTCATGGTTGATTGATTCTGGAACAGTGGAAATGAGTGAGAAAGTTGAATATATGAACAGAAGAAGGACACGAGTAATGCAAGAAGGGTGGATTACAAAAGATGGAATCCATTGTGGCTGTTGTAGCAAAATCTTATCAGTTTTGAAGTTTGAGCTTCATGCAGGAAGCAAACTCAAGCAGCCATATCTGAATATTTTTGGACAATCTGGAAAATCTTTGATGCAGTGTCAGATTGAGGCATGGAATAAACAAGGAGAGTTGGAAAGGAAGGGTTTTTATGCTGTAGATGTTGATGGTGATGATCCTAATGATGACACCTGTGGCTTATGTGGCGATGGTGGTGATTTGATTTGTTGTGATGGTTGTCCATCCACCTTTCACCAGAGCTGTTTAGGCATAAAGGTATTAATTGTGTTTTTATTGCTTTATATTATACCCATGGATATATGGATATATTATTTGTATGTGTATTATGAATTCATTGTTATGAATCGTGTGATTTCAGATGCTTCCTCAAGGTGATTGGCATTGTCCAAATTGCTCATGTAAATACTGTGAAACTGAAGCTGGTGTTAGAACTGAAAGTCAACTTCTTGCATGCTGCCTTTGTGAGAAAAAATGTAATGTTTGCTATTTGTTTGTGATCTGATCATATGATTGTTTCATTAATCACTGTGATTTTAATGTTTGTTGGTTGGATTAAATTTAAAACTTGTTGCTGTTGCAGATCATGAATCATGCAGCCTGGAGATGAATGAGAAGCCTGTTGATCCCACTGATCCAAACCTGTCATTCTGTGGCCAGAAGTGTCTAGAGGTACTAAAAGTTCTCTTTCCTATTCTGAGTTAATGGGTTTTAATCTCATAATCATCATCATCATTAGTTTTCACTTGCTTTAAGCTTGATGTGCAGTATGTGTGCAAAGAGATCATGATTTATATTCTCACCTTTTCTCATTTCACCATTACCCTGCATTCATATCTCTTTATCTCTTAGATTGTTCTATGTTTAGAGCTCTGTGCCTTTGTGCATGTATATATAAGCATACTGAGAGAACTCATTGACAAAATATTTGTTTTAATGACTAGGTCTTTGGTATATTCTAGGGATATGGTAACTTTGGGGAGTGTTTAGATTTTAGAAATATGGAAGACCAAAATAGGAAGATTGTTAAAAAAGAAGTTTGAGGGAAAGATTACATTCTACACTAGACTTCTAGAATAACACTCGTGTTCATTTAGATGCAAGAGATTGTTAAAACAGCCTCTTTTCTTGAAACATAGCAATTAAAGTCAGTGAAAGTTACACACAACATGTTACAATATTTATAACAATTAAAAGTTGCAAGAAATATCTAAAGTTCCAATTTCCTTGGGAGGACATAAAAAAAAAAAAAAAAGAGAAACTATCTTTTTGTTGTGTTATTTGTTTATGACATTCTCTCTTCTAGTTTTGTGGTGTAAATTGTAATTATGTTGAATTTGCAGGTATACAGCCACCTGCAGAAGCTTCTTGGGGTGAAACATGAAGTGGGTTCTGGATTCTCATGGTCTCTTATTCGTCGATCAGATCTTCCACCAGATGCTTCATCCATGGAGTTATCACAAAGAGTGGAATGCAATTCCAAGCTAGCTGTTGCTCTTTCAGTCATTGATGAGTGCTTTGTTCCTGTTCTTGATAGGAGAAGTGGAATCAACTTAATCCATAATGTTGTTTACAATTGTGGGTAAGTCTAACAATACCCTGTTACTTTCTTTACCCATTAAGTTGATGTCTGAATTTGCTAATTCTTTGTAATTTTTTTTTGCAGATCAAACTTTAACAGGTTAAACTACAGTGGCTTCTTTACAGCTATATTGGAGAGGGGTGATGAAATGATTTGTGCTGCATCCATCAGGTAGGCTTCTGCTGCTTTACTTAATTTTTAATAAAATTTGTCAATTTCTGACCTTAATTTCAAATTTTAATAAAATTTGTTTAGGATCCACGGGACCCAGCTAGCAGAGATGCCATTTATTGGGACCCGCCATATGTATAGACGCCAAGGGATGTGTCGTAGGCTGTTATCTGCTATTGAATCGGTAAGAAAAAGTAGAACCTTTTTATTTGCTTTTGGTGCGTGTAAATTACTTGTATACCCTTTTCTTTTCAGGTACTCTCATCCCTTCATATTGAGAAATTGATCATTCCTGCCATTGCTGAACACATGCATACATGGACTGATGTTTTTGGTTTCAAGCCTCTTGAGGAAACACACAGACAAGAAATGAGGTCCATCAACATGTTGGTGTTTCCTGGAACAGATATGTTGCAGAAACCGCTAATTCCAGAGAAAGGTTCATCATTACATAAGATAAGAATGGAATTGGAATTGGAAAGCAACATTCCGAAGCCTGACAAATCGGAATCAAGTTCTCCCGATGTTAAAGAGTCGAGACAAAGAATTGCTCCATCGGATTCCGGTTCTCAAGATGCTAGCGATGCCACTCTTTCTATCAGTTCTGTTAAAGTTGATATTCCGTTTCCGGTTCTGAAAAGAAAACCAAATGTTATTAGTGATTCCGATGTTCAGCTTGATGGTGATGATACAGTTATGCAGAATGGTGAAGAGAGTACTGAAAATTTTGCTATTTCTGTTGCCATTCCGGTGAGAAAAGGTGTGCGGGGTGGTAATGAGACTACAAACGGAATTGCTGATGCCGATTCCAAGGGAGTAGGATTTGCTCCACAGAATGGGAATGTGATGCCTTCCACCAAAACAGGTGGTGCCAATTCCGTTCCAGGTAACCCACGTGAGCTCATGGGAAAGGAATCAGTTTCTGTATCTACGGATTCCGATTCCAGCAAAGAACTAACGGATGTGCAGGATGACGGAATCACTGATGCTATTCCAATGGACGCAATATCCTTAAACGTTTCTCTTGAACACAAACCACAATTGTCTGGAATGGAATCACTTCCATCTGTTCCAAATTCAGCTGCAAATATAGCAGAATTAATTCAATTTTCAACAGGAAAGGAGAAATGAAAATCCATATTAAAGCTTTTGATTATGTTATATAACCTATTGATTTGAAGATGATGGGAAGAATATGAACCAAAATCTTTCCAAATCACATGAAAAGTAATTCCATTCGTGAGTTGCTGCAGAGCCTGGAATGGAATGTATAAACGCAAGATGCTGCTGATGAGGTTTGAGTTTGTAATTGGTTTTGTGGGTTGACTCGACTTGACTCACTGTTGTTGTATCAAGAAAAGTTAATAAACGATTAGGTTGATTGGGTTTTTGAGGACAACATATTTATCAGAGTAATTTTTTTACCAATTCTATTCGATATGTAACAAAATTTATAATTACAACTATCTTCAACGGGAGTATTGGTGTTGCCATTACAATTTACTTATTTGTATCATAACGACTGTAGTATTTGACTTTTCAGATCTATTTTCTTTAGTCACACCATTATTTTCTATATTGGATTTATGTTGATTTATAAAATTGAATACATGATTAAATGATATATTTGTAATCAAACGCAAGAAACCATTATAGATTTATACATTATTCTTTAACTACATATATTGTTACATTGCACCATAGTCATACATTTACCCATATAGGAAAAGGGTTAAAAGCAACAGTAATGAATATTAACTAATAATATAATACACAGAGCCTAAAATCTGAGACCTAGAAATCTATTGGTCAAAAAAAAAAAGAGAACTTTTAATCCATGTGGCTTCACAAAACTAAAATCTTCACTTGAAGCCTTATAAGAGCCACATCATGGAATGAGTACAAATCTATGGTGATATCTTTGACACCACCAACCAGTCTCATTACCAACATGAGGAAGGTAAATCACAGTATCAGGGTATCTTGAACGGGCATGCATGCATATATGCCAACCTTAGACCTCACTTATGGAATTTTCACATTCTTACATCAATCATGAATGCATCAATATTCTTCTTCAAATAAATTTGGTTTTTTAAGACATTGACACTCTGGGAAGGGGTTTAAATATAACGAGTTTTTTCTTGTGATTTTCTTGATATTGGGTATCGCAACACCCTTGTGGTCACTTTCAGCTAGCATTACTTGCATCTCCTTCTTGAATTCATCCCAACTAGCAAAAAATAAAAATAAAAAAACAATTTTGGTATTGTATTTACTCAAATATAAAGATTCATCAATCATAAGCTTATATGTTTATTCATACAAGATATTATGAATTACCTTATGGTTGTATTGTGGAGCAAAACAACAAGCTTGCGCTTATCTGGCATGATGGTTTTTGCATGTCCATAATGAAATTTCCTATGACCCATCAAAAAATGTGGGAAATTTCCACCTTGTGTTGTTACAAAAACTTCACTGAAAAAGCACACAATGTAGTCCAAAGCAGCCATCCTTGAAGAATAATCCTACATCAAGAAACTACACAAGTTAAACTAAGGTGTTGTTTCTTTTTACCTTAATATGGCTTAATGTATTAAGACACTAACCTTAAATGAAGCAAGCTCATCTGGGGTAGTAAGTAACTCCTTTGTGTGTAAAAGGGGGAACATTTTCCTCAAAGGAGCTACATTTTTATCAGCTTGATATATTTTTCCTGATGCCAAATAAATTGGAGTTGTGTTTGCAAATCCCATACCCCTTAGCATCATTCCTACCTTTAAAGAAATTAACCCTCAAACACGAAGTAAAATTCAAGAAATTATAAAATTCATGAGTTCTTGAAACTAACCTCTAAAGGTGTCATTGGACACCTTCCATTGATTCGATTACGAACAGGATCTATAATATAATCTTTACGTTTAAATTTATCACCCCAATCTTTTTGGCGTATTGAATCCATTTCAAGTTGTTCAGATTTCCCTCCATCATACACACAACATGAAAAGGCAACCATGTCCTGAATCACATGCAATCAATAAGATTGGAAACTATAAAACTGAGAAAACAAATGGACAATAATAGTATCACACCTCTTCAAACCGAAGGTGGATAGAAACGTAATTTCCATCTGAATTTGAACTATCAACAGTCATTCTGTTGACTAGCATCTTGGCAACTGTGATGATGGAGTTAGAGAATCTCAATGCTTCATAATTAGCAACACATCTAAGATATTGAATATGAGGAGGGAGATTTGGAGACAATCTATTTGCAAAAGGAGCTATTCGAACAATCCTGAATTGAATTTTTCACAGAATTAAAAATAAAGAAATACCCAGATTTTAAAATAATATTAAGAACCAACCTTTGTTCTTTGAGGACAGGATAAACTTGTTTTAAGTAGTAATTGGCAGATGCCCAAGCTGGGACCCGAAAGTTTGGTATATTGCTTATACTAAAATTATAATTTTCCATTAGTTCCTTTGGGAGCTCACGAACTACATTAACATATTCTTTAAGGGTGGCTATGAAATGGTCTTCATCATATATGTCTGCAAACTCACTGTAAAGAACAAAGATTAGAAAAGAATATTAATTGCAAGCAACAAAAACTCAAAAAAAAACTCCTTATTGCATTTCAAGATTAATGGATGTTCATTAAGTAATAGGATTTGCCTGCTATCCCTCCAGACATTATGAAAATTAAAAAGAGGAATGAGTAGTGTAGCATTCAAAAGACCTGCAACTGCCACTGCATTACATATCTGCCATTTAAAGATTTCATTGTTATGTTAACATATAACAAGGAGGAGAAGAAAATAAGTAAGCTAATGGATTATGGATGTTCATTAGGCTTACAGATGAACGCTGTTGATTTAGACCACCATTTGCCTCCACAATCAAGTATTGATCAGGTATGCCAGTTTCTGTTATAAAAGATTTTCATTAGTTTATAGGTACACATAAAGAAGATGGAAAAATACATAATCATTAGAAGAGACTACCACTGAATTGAAGTAGAAGTACAAATACCAAGATATTGATGAGATGTTATAGGGCAAGGTTTCTGCTCTGTCAACTTCATTTTTTGTCTCCATACATCTGACAACTAAGTCAACAAAATACAAATTTCCAATCAGCTTCAAGCATATAATGTAATGTAGCCGACAATTAATTACTGTATTCGCTGAATCAATGGACAATACTGTGATCTATCTTGGATAAAGATGAGAAACCAATAGAAATTAAGATGTGAAAGCCCCCCTCTTCGAGATTTAGATATTACAGAACTGTAGCAGTAAAGGTTGGGGATAAAAGGATTTAAAATTGGGAATAATAATAGTATAATAAACTATATAATACCTGGATTCCAGAAGAAGTGTCAGATTGAATGTCAGTCAGGAGATTCTGGAAGATCTCATGACTACGATAAATGGAGCCAGGCAAAGGATTGGGAAATAGCATTGCGGACAAGGGGCCGACGAACGTGATCACAGCCGATAAGAACAATAACGGGAGTAGAAGCAAGTAGCCAAAGATCCGTCGCCGGAAAAAATTTCCGTTTAAGAGATGTGGACGCCGTCGACGAGTGTTGTAAGAGCGACCTCGCCGGCGAGAAGTGGAATGAGTAGTAGGAGGAGACGGGGGTGAGCTCAAAGATTTGCCACTGCTGCTGCTGCTGTAGTAATTGAGAGTGGCATCCATGGCATATTATTTTTTGGGTTCAAGGCGTAGTGACGTTTGGGGGAAAAGTGAGATCTTCTCTCCTGTCTTTTTCTGTACATCCCATTTTTAAGGAGTAAGTCGTCTCCGAATTCGATTATTTTGTATAGTTTTTTTTTTTAGAACGGTAACTAATAATTACTTTTTAACTACTCTTAATTTATACTTACTGTATTGGGACGAGGATCATGGTCGATCATACAGTGATAATAGTGCGTTTAAAACAAAACCCAAAAATTTAGTATATGTAATATCCGTTTTCTGGATTGATCTGTTAAGTACTTAAAATTAGGAGAATAAGGTTTTTAGGAAAAACCTTAAATGGCAGCACAGTTAGATGATGGTTGTGGTGCTGCCACATAACTTAAATGGCGACATGGTCCCGTGTTGGTCGCGAAAAGGTAGCCACTGGGTTCAAAACCCTAGGTATTTGCTTTTGGGCCTTATATAATGGCTCTAACTTTTAGGGTTGCATGCATTCATCAGCCTCCACCCCCAAAATAAAAATCCAGTGTGTTTGTGTGTGAGTGTGTTTTTAGTGCATTGAGTGCGTGTTTTAATGTTCCAAACATAGGAATGTTCTTGGATGATGAAGAAGGTGATCTTGTAGCTTGGGGAAGTGATTGATACTTCATAATTTGCATCTCTTGCACTTTTTGGAGCTTTTGAAGGTATAAAGTTCCTACATTTATTGCTTATGATTCTCATTTCATGTTTTGAGGTACTTTAGAAGAGTGTTCTTGGATTTTAGAAAACTCCAGAACCTTAGGTTTGGTTTTTGTTCATTTCTGGTCTTGTGTTGGTAGAAAAAGTAGTATGCTTTGGTTTCCTTGGAACCATGCATAAGTTTTGGCCAATATAAGAATATAATGGAGTTAGGGTTTGAGTTTGTCCTGATTTTCGACACAAACTTTTCATTTTTATTTGTTTAAATATATCATAATATAATTACATTATGCGGAAAACATGATGCAAATTCGTGTGTGTATAGTCGAGCATTGCCCTTCTCACAAACCTAGGAAGTACCTGAAAACATTTATAATCAACTGGGTAAGTACGAAGCTTAGTGAGTTCTCCAAAATACCATATATCATAATACATATACAATACATACACATATTGACTCACGACCTTTTGCCGATCCACCAATAATTTCACATAATGGCCTTCAGCATAAAGTTGGTCTGCCCCTTGGCCTTTAGTATAAAGTTGGTCCACCCATTGGCCTTCAACACGAGGTTGGTCCGCCCGAGTCTATTGGCCTCCAGCACGGGGTTGGTCCGCTTTAAATCCCACATAATTATTCAATAAATATCTAGCAGACAAACAATTCCACACAACAGACAATTAACTAAGTTGGTCTAGTGGCCTAATAGCATACTATAAGGCAATCACATCCTAAC